GAGCTTTTACACACTGGTGGATGAGGCTACTGTACATGGTGCCATCTGCTGATCAGCACTCTGCTCTCACACACTGATGGAACAGCCATTGGGAGCAATTTGGGGTTCTGTACCTCTACATGCGGACTGGAGGAGCCAGGTATCAAACTGCTGATCTCCTGGTTGGTGGACAACCCGCGAGAAGTTGGCCTGAGTGTCAATTAACAAAGACTACACTTTACATAAAAGGCCAAAGCTGATGAGAAACAGCCATTGGCTGAAGGAAGCATGAGACAGAGAGAATGCATAAAAGAGGTGCATGTTTATAAATCATTTTCGTAGAATGCAGTCACATCCAAAACATTTCACACTGGGTCTTAGCCTTACCCCTGGCATTTCTGTGACTGCAGACATAGTCTCCTCAACAGCCTTAGACATGCTGGCACCATCTCCCTGCAAATATAAGAACACTGAACTTCATCAGGGAGCTCACCAGTAGTCAAACATATGTGATTAATGACCCTCTTCCTGACCTCTATAGCGTTACCCTTATCCAAAACAATCAATCAATTCAATTCAAAAAGAGACAGCTGTGAGAGAATTGAGAGAGCTCGTGCAGTGCTCACTGTGAGACTTATTTCTCAGGAGAGACATTTGAGAAGAATGAGAAAAACAATTTGGTCTTGATTAGTGCTCATTTATATCTAGGAGATGTAAATGTGACATAAAGGAGATCTCATCTTCAGTTTTGCTTTGCTATGGGTAATTCTATCAAATGCTTTTGATGCGTCAATAAAGCAAAGAAATACAGAGGAATTTCTGCTCACATAACTTGCAATAATTTCTTTCAATGCATAAATACACATATCTGTGGCATGGTCTCTTTTAAAGCCAAATTGATTACTGGTCGTTGAGACAAATATCAATCAATCAATCAATCAATTTTATTTAGAAAGCCCAATATCACAAATCACAATTTGCCTCACAGGGCTTTACAGCATACAACATCCCTCTGTCCTTTGGACCCACAAGGTCAAGATCTGTTTTGGTAATGTTTTCATTCTCATGAAGAATGCAAGAAATGTTGTTGTACACTGCTTTCTGGATCTGCTGTATCTAATAGAAGCCAGGCTGTGGGATGCACAGGCATGTCTTACTGATTACTGATAGAAGATCTTACAGGTTTATGCACACATATGCAGATGCTACATATGCACCATCACTGTGTCCCCTCTTTACAATATAAGCATAAGACAGCAGTGGTACACGTCAAATCAATTTGACCTCTGTGACATACCTGATAAGCATGAGAGGGCCCTCCTACAGATGAAGATGAAGCACAATAACTGGGACGTCTCTCCTTACAATGTCTGCATAAGATTCCTGTAATACACATTGCGTATCACTTTGACCTATGTTGTTTACCTGGTAAGCATGAGAAGATCTTGCCACAGCTGAAGCACCACCACTGGGATGCCCCCCCTTACAGTGTTTGCATATGATTATAGTGTTTGCATATGATTACTGTGGTATGCAATGCATATCACTTTGACCTCTGTTGTTCACCTGGTAAGCATAAAAAGGCCCTGCCAAAGATGAAGCACCATCACTGGGATATCCCCCTCCTTACAGTGTCTGCATAAGATGCCTGCAATGCACACGCTGACCTCCCCGTTTGACACCTTGAGCATGAGATGCTGCAGAAATCTTCACTTCTATACTACTCTGAGGTCCAACACATTCTGCTTCTTCAATTGTTTTGTTGCAAAGTGAATCTCATTAGACCTCTACCAGTGCAGGCTTGCAGCTTGTGACTTCTTAAGGTGTGTTCACACCGGACCTGTTTTTTTTTTTCGCTAGTGACGAGTTTACATACAAAGTCAATGCAAACGGGCGATTGAGCGTATATTCGCCCGGGAGAAAAATCGCTCGGGCTCCGAGCGACAGCAACAAAACGATTTTTCGCTCGTCGCTTGAGATGAGAAATCTCATCTGGAGCGGTATTTCGCTGGGTCCTGTCGCTTGCAGCTCAACGCTGATTGGCTGCCGTAATCCCGGAATCCCGGGGGGGTGTTTGACTGTCATGACATGTCAGCTTCATTAAAAGTATAGCTGCAAATTAAAAGCAACAATAGATGTAAAAACACACAGAGACAATACATCTGTGATCAGTCCCCTAATTTAATTTCAACAATTTTTCTCAATCTTTCTCGTTTTATTTTATGGAAGTGATCAATGTAAGTGCACTTGTCCTAGCGCCACCACGACGGTTTTTATAATGCAAATAACTCGAAAATGTATGCTTTGGTGTACTTTTACAGAGTTTTGCAATATGTATATAGCCTACCTGTATGTATCAAAATGTATAACTTTCAGCAGCGTTCGCCACGGTCGGAGGTATAAATGCTCAGTGTAGTGTGTTTCATTTTTGTAACTTAAAGGCTTCAGAAAACATACAAGACACATTTTTAGGAAAAGTCATAGGAAGAGAAGCTTGTAGGTTTTACCTAAACAGAGTTATTTGCATTATAAAAACCAATGTGGCGGCTCTAGGACAAGTGCACTTACATTGATCACTTCCATAAAATAAAACGAGAAATTGGAGAAGATTGAAAAAAAAAAAAATTAGGGGACTGATCACAGATGTATAGAGTGTGCCAGGGCTGACGTCAAAACCCGGAAGTTTAGCATCGCGCTGGTTCCCGGAAGAGAAAGTGAATGTGATTTTGCATTGCATTTTGGATTATGTCAGAAAATAAACTCTGTGGCTAACACAAGTTTATGATACTTACAGGTTTTGTTCAGCGAGATAATCTTCACATATACCTTTCATACCGCATTTGAAGCTTAAATGCGATCGCCAGAAGTAAAAAGCTAATGTTAGGCTTTAACAGACTACATGACTACTCCACGGTCATGATTCTTGATTCTTGACGTCACCGCCACTAAGCTTTATTTTAAAAACATTGTATAATGGGGAAATCGGATTGTTTAAGCTAAATAAGAAGCTGTAATGGCAGACTGCCAGCACTCTCGCCTGTTCAGGGGTGACGACGTTTAATGTCCCCAACAGGGTTTGTAGTCGTATTGAGCAACTTGTTAGCAACCGCCTTTTTTACGACACATAAAAGCTTCAAAATTCACAAATAGGGTATTTACTGATGTGTTTTATGTCGCAGAACAAAACCTGAAACTCGCTTAAGCTTTTGTTAACCACAGACCTT